AAGGTGGCAGTTATATAAAATCATACACAATAAAATCAGGACTATAATAACAAGAGGATAGAAGAATGATTTCATTATCTAGGATCCAGTAGGGGACCAACCAGTAAAAGCATTGTACCAATGATGGGCTAAATCATTCTTAATTTGTGAACTCACCTTAAGGAGTTCTCCTTTTAGGATATGTGTGGCTACCTGTGTGTGTACTATAGCATCATTATGTGTAACAAGATGTGTAGCGGAGAGCTTATTTCCCACAGCTTAACTCCACTGATGTATTAGAATAATTCAGGAACAAGTAGTAAATCCAAATAGGGTAACACGCACAATCAGCATGGCATACCAATAATATCCCATCACCTTTCCCAATCACTGGACGACACACAGGATCAGGAGTAGAACTGAGGTTTAATGACACAATTCCTGCTTTTATGAGATTCTCCCATGCAAGGGAGGCACCCAACATAATCAGTACAGTAACCATAGACGTTACCTCCCACACATCTCATCCCCTTAGCTTAACATTAATTATAATGTACCAACTTTTTCCCAATTCTTGGATGTACCCCAAATATGGTAGGTACACCTTTAAATGTGGTACCCCCTGGTAGCCCTGATCTGGGTGAGGAATATATCCCAAAATCACCCAGATCAGACCAGGGGTTCGGGAGTTACGAGGGCGCAAAGATTTGACCGACCGTATGGGCAAAGTAGCCGAAAATAGTTCCATGAATCTTGGCCCTGCAGTCGGTCTCCGTTCGCGCATCAAAAGTCCTGAAAGGCTATGCCATCTATGGCTGAGTCTGCATTCGGATGAATCCCCTAGTTCGTGGGATTCATCCTACCGAATGCCGGGCCGTTCGGGTGTTTCGATCGGTACTTTCTGCTGTCCTGGAGGTCTCAGCGGTGTTTGGTTAGCCGAGTGTCCGATTTGAGTTCCAGACACTCGATGACCAAACACCGCTGTTCGGGAGTTTAAGATGGCCGCCGCCATGTGTTCAGCTGCCGAAATGGCGGCCACCCAAGGGATATAGCAGAGCATTCAAAAACAAATATGAATACCGCACTCAAAAAAGATGATTCTTGTAAAATCTAAACTGTATTGAATTGCAAGAATATTTATTATAATAGTAATTCATAGGTTAATCAAGTAAACCTTAGTGAAGTTCATTCCAATCATATATATACATCGATTATTTACATATATACACACAAAAAACCTCCCTGTGCTGAATTTCATGAACTATATATCTATATACATAGGTTGTGGATCCAAAAAATGCATGAAAATAAAATGTCCAGAAAAATATAGTAAAAAAGGAAAAAAAAGGCAGAAAAAAAGCAAAAAAGCAAAGAAGAAAAAATGAATGAAAAAATGTATATATTTTCCAGTCCTATTGATAGTCCAAAATATAGTGCACTATATACTTCATATAATTCATAAATATATAGATGGATCTCACGTGAACTTGATAGTATATTCAGTAAGAGGGTGGTAGATCTTGTAGATGATGTATATTGAATCAAAGTGAAAGTGGGTGAAAATGAGTTGTAGCTCAATGAGAAAGTTATCACTCGTCCCTTTTGTAGTATCTGGTCAGTCTAGCAGGTCTTTTCCTGAGTTCGAAATCGTGGGCAGTCCTGTGAATCGGGCTGAAATGGGCTGCGCGCTCGGGACGTTCCTGTCCCTTCAAAGGCCCCTGTTCCTCTCCGTCCTGCCAAAGTATAAGCATATCACTTAAATATCCTCATTAGGCGGCAAAAAAACGCCGCGGCCACTCCTTGCTGTTACTTCCGCCTACTAACGTCAGCGTACGTCGCTACGTCATACGCATTCTACTAAACTTTATTGTTCACATACATATTGTATAATAACAAAATTAAAGGGAAATCTCACATAGACATAAGTAACTATGTAATACAAATGATTACAAAGGCAATGGAATTGTTCATGCAAACTAAATAGTGCTCGAATCTAAAGCAGTCTTAAACCTAAAAGACAAAATACACTCAAGAAAAAAGGAACAGAAAATAGTAGTTAAATGTATCTAAAAAACCTAACTAATGTATGGTTATTATATAGCTCACCTGCAACAGATGATCAAGAGAACAGGAATATCTGCAACTATAGATCAGTAGAATAATCAGCTAAGAAAGAGAAAAAATAATAAAAGATGGATTGTCTATATCTATTGCAACAATAGAAAACAATGTTCAAAAAATTCCAAACAATAAGTAAAAAGAAAAAAGAAAAGAGAAAAAAAGTACAAAGAACAAACAATAAAAATGAAAAATGATATAGAAAAAATATGTTAAATGAAAAAAGATCCTCATTAAAAAGTTTTTTGTTGTAGCAAAATTTGAGAAAATAAAATGGAAGGAAAATTGAAAAATAAAACTAAAAATGCAGAGTATGCAACTCACCTGTCTCGTATTGCCCCACCGTGCCCCTGGGTCCCGTATGTGGGGAACCCTGTACTGATGGCAGGTAGCGGACCCAAAATGGTCAAAATGTTGGCAGGGAAGAACACCGGACCAAAACTGGTCAAGGGGAGCCTCTGTAAGGAGCAGAAAATCATAGAGCAGACAATAAATGCAAAAAGAGGAAAAAACTTCTCACAAGAAATGTTTAAGGTCATAATCTTCATTAAGCCCTAATGGTGACAAAGTCTCCAAGGTACTTATCCATTTTGTTTCTCTTTGTAATAAAAGTTTCTGTCTATCCCCTCCTCTGCGTAGAGGTGGAATTCTGTCCAAGACTTGAAACCTTAACTGGTTTACGTTATGACCATATGCTTTAAAATGTCTGGGTACCGGAGCCTCCACTTTATTGTGTTGTAATGCTGCCCTAATGCTCCTTTTGTGCTCCCCTATCCGCTCTTTCACTGGCCTGATGGTCTCCCCCACATACAGGAGTCCACAGGGACACTTGAGAGCATACACAACAAAGTCGGAGTTGCATGTAAAAAACTCTAAACTCTAAACATAAAATTTCTTACCTGATCTGGGATGTACAAAATATTCCCCCTTGATCACACTGTTACAGTGTGAGCAATTTAAACATGGAAAAGTGCCCTTCTTAGGTTCTGAAAAGAATCTAGTTTGTTTCTTCGAACTACCAATATCTGATCTTACTATCATATCCCTCAGGTTCGAGGCCCTCTGGTATGCAAAAAGGGGAGACTGTTGGAATATCGGGGGTAATTGGGTATCCCCCTGAAACAGTTGCCAATGTTTTAATATAACATGCCTCATCTCCTTATTAAGTGGGGTATATGGTGTTACCAACGTAATCCTTTCCACTTTGTCTCTGGCCCCTGCACCTGAAAGGGTTTCTTGTCGAGAGAGATTATCAACCTTCTGTCGTTGATTGTTAACTACATGTGTGGGATAGCCCCGTTCTATGAATTTATTGGCCATAAAATCTAAACCCGTCATAACTTTATCTTCCTGTGATACAATCCTTTTTACCCTTAATAATTGACTAAATGGTAATCCATTCTTTAGATGGATAGGATGGAAGCTTGAGTAGGTCAATAAATTGTTACGGTCAGTAGGTTTTATGTACAGGTCACTGTGAAGACAATTTTGTACTCTCTGTACCTGAACGTCTAAAAAAGGGACTGTGGTAGTATCACAGCACATGGTAAATTTAATATTTTCATCTTGTGTGTTTAATGACTCAAAAAATTCCTGTAACTGGGCCCTAGTGCCGCTCCAACATATGAACACGTCATCTATGTATCTTTTCCAGACTAGGCATTTGGAAAATAAGGGATGTTCGTAGATGCATGTTTCCTCCATTCGATTCATATAAATGTTAGCATATGTTGGAGCGACATTCGAGCCCATAGCAGTACCCTTGATCTGTTTGTAATACTTATCACCAAACAGAAAGTAATTCTCAGTCAAAATGAAAGTAAGTAATTCCCTAATATATTTTCGGGTCTCTTCTTGTTGGATTAATCTCGGGTCTCTATCCAATGTCCAATCTACTGCCTCAATCCCTCTATTATGGTCAATTGAAGTGTATAATGACTGTACATCCATAGTTACCAACCAAAAGTCTCCTGGTGGGATATGTATATCTGCTAGTAGTGTGAGGAATGTAGTAGTATCTTTGAGGTATGATTTCTGCATTGGGACATATTTGATCAAAAATTTATCCAGTATTTCTGCTGGATGTTGGAATATAGACCCAGTTCCACTGACTATTGGTCTGCCTGGTGGAAAAAGGGGATTCTTATGTATTTTGGGGAGGGTATAGAACACCGGAATTCTTGGGTATTTGAAGTTCATGTACTTATATTCTCCATCAGAGATAATGTTTTTAGAAAGGGCCCATAAGTTCAGTTTATCTAGTGTGCGTTTCAGATTGTGTGTAGGGTCTTGACTGATAGGTAAGTAATTTGTGTTATCCAATAACTGGGTCTCAATTTCTTTTACATAATATGTACGATCCATAATCACCAGTGCTCCCCCTTTATCTGCCGGTTTGATAATGATGGATGTGTCTTTCTTTAAGTTATTGATATTCAACCAATCTTGTTTGGTAAAATTGATACTTTTTCCATGATAACTATGGGTGTATTGATGTTTTTTCCTAAGTTTACACATATCTTTCTTCACAAGATTGGTGAATAAATCAATGGATGTATTGATGTTATGTGGTGTGAAAGTGCTTTTAGGTTTCAAACCTGTATCCAGGGAGAGAATGGTGTATGGGTCAGACCCGGTAGCATAATGTCCCACAACCTCCATATTTCCTTCATCCTGTGGATGTCCCTGTGTGGTCTGCATAGTATTGTCAGTAGATTCTGCTGTTATACCATAACTTTGCTGATCTGTTGAAAAGAATGCACGTAACTTAAGTTGGCGAAAAAATTTATACAAGCTGACGTCATATTGATGCCACTCTATATGGGGTGTGGGAATGAAGGAGAGTCCCTTATTCAGGGTCCCCTCCTCCGTAGGTGTTAAGGGCCTACCTGAAATGTTGTGTATTAGAGATTGCGTCTCGATTGGGGCGGTCGGCCTTGTCTTTTCTCCCGAGTGCCTCTTGTTGTAACCCCCCCGCCTGATGCTTCTTCGTGTCGTGTACCTCTCTCTAAAAAAGTCATCCCTGAAGACGAGGAGGCAGAGGAGGAGGATGTAGCCCCCTCTGTATCCGAGCGCCATCTCTGTGTAGTTGTATCTCTGTTGGGTCTATACGAACGATTGTCCGCTCTAGAGTACCAGGTGTAAACTTGATCCCTTTGATAATCTAATTCGTCTCTATGGAATTTTTTCTTTTTGAATTCTTCCGTTTCTCTCTGATACTCTTTTAATTTATCTTCTATTTGTTTTTTGAGTGTCTCTAAGTCAGTTGATGCAGTGACTGCTGCTAGTTCTTGTTCCGTTGCTGCTATCTCTTTAATAAGTTTAGTTAATTCTTTCTGTAGAGATTCTATAGTTAGTACCATGAGGTCCACTGAGCATTTATTCAAAATTTTGTACCATATTGTCCGGTGTTCAGCATTGTCTCTACATAATGTGGGATGTAATCTAACTCTCAAACCCCTTGGAATTCTTTTTTGTCTAAGGTATTCTCCTAGGGTATTTACATGTAGTTCCCAACTTATTTTTCTTTTTAAATCTCTCTCAAGTTTGTGAGCTATTCCGCGTTCACTCTCATTAGTTAAAAATTCCCTAGCTCCTCTAAGGGCCGATGTGATACGATTGATATCACCCTCTGTATAGGCAAATGTTGCCATAAAGTCAACTGTGTATAGATGAAAAAATAATCCAATAAACTGGCAAGACAGAAACTTTTATTACAAAGAGAAACAAAATGGATAAGTACCTTGGAGACCTTGTCACCATTAGGGCTTAATGAAGATTATGACCTTAAACATTTCTTGTGAGAAGTTTTTTCTTCATTTTTGCATTTATTGTCTGCTCTATGATTTTCTGCTCCTTACAGAGGCTCCTCTTGACCAGTTTTGGTCCGGTGTTCTTCCCTGCCAACATTTTGACCGTTTTGGGTCCGCTACCTGCCATCAGTACAGGGTTCCCCACATACGGGACCCAGGGGCACGGTGGGGCAATACGAGACAGGTGAGTTGCATACTCTGCATTTTTAGTTTTATTTTTCAATTTTCCTTCCATTTTATTTTCTCAAATTTTGCTACAACAAAAAACTTTTTAATGAGGATCTTTTTTCATTTAACATATTTTTTCTATATCATTTTTCATTTTTATTGTTTGTTCTTTGTACTTTTTTTCTCTTTTCTTTTTTCTTTTTACTTATTGTTTGGAATTTTTTGAACATTGTTTTCTATTGTTGCAATAGATATAGACAATCCATCTTTTATTATTTTTTCTTAGCTGACTATTCTACTGATCTATAGTTGCAGATATTCCTGTTCTCTTGATCATCTGTTGCAGGTGAGCTATATAATAACCATACATTAGTTAGGTTTTTTAGATACATTTAACTACTATTTTCTGTTCCTTTTTTCTTGAGTGTATTTTGTCTTTTAGGTTTAAGACTGCTTTAGATTCGAGCACTATTTAGTTTGCATGAACAATTCCATTGCCTTTGTAATCATTTGTATTACATAGTTACTTATGTCTATGTGAGATTTCCCTTTAATTTTGTTATTATACAATATGTATGTGAACAATAAAGTTTAGTAGAATGCGTATGACGTAGCGACGTACGCTGACGTTAGTAGGCGGAAGTAACAGCAAGGAGTGGCCGCGGCGTTTTTTTGCCGCCTAATGAGGATATTTAAGTGATATGCTTATACTTTGGCAGGACGGAGAGGAACAGGGGCCTTTGAAGGGACAGGAACGTCCCGAGCGCGCAGCCCATTTCAGCCCGATTCACAGGACTGCCCACGATTTCGAACTCAGGAAAAGACCTGCTAGACTGACCAGATACTACAAAAGGGACGAGTGATTACTTTCTCATTGAGCTACAACTCATTTTCACCCACTTTCACTTTGATTCAATATACATCATCTACAAGATCTACCACCCTCTTACTGAATATACTATCAAGTTCACGTGAGATCCATCTATATATTTATGAATTATATGAAGTATATAGTGCACTATATTTTGGACTATCAATAGGACTGGAAAATATATCCATTTTTTCATTCATTTTTTCTTCTTTTTTTCTTTTTTTCTTTTTTGCTTTTTTTCTGCCTTTTTTTCCTTTTTTACTATATTTTTCTGGACATTTTATTTTCATGCATTTTTTGTATCCACAACCTATGTATATAGATATATAGTTCATGAAATTCAGCACAGGGAGGTTTTTTGTGTGTATATATGTAAATAATCGATGTATATATATGATTGGAATGAACTTCACTAAGGTTTACTTGATTAACCTATGAATTACTATTATAATAAATATTCTTGCAATTCAATACAGTTTAGATTTTACAAGAATCATCTTTTTTGAGTGCGGTATTCATATTTGTTTTTGGATTTAGATTAGGAGGTTGTCGTGGGGTTAAACCTCGAATACCTGCACCTTGCATAATTGAGTGCCAACACTTATTGTGTTTTTTGTATAGCAGAGCATTCGCCTGTTTGAAACAGGTGAATGCAACAAGCAGGCATGGAGGTAAATTACAGCCACATTTCACACGAGGGTGGTCCGGTTGTTCGGCACTTTGGTTCGTAAAGTGAATACAGCGATTCACATGCAGACTTGTAGCTCTTTTCTACCGAACACTTAGAAGAATTCTAACAGGTAATTCTATACAGTCCAGGTATAGGAAACCTTAAGTTCTAACAACAAATATTATACAAGATGATGTATGGGACAAAAAACAATAGACAATGAGAAATGCAGTCCGTCTCAGAATGTACTTAAGATTAACTGCATACCCTGGAAATATATATAACGGTAGAGTGTAGTCCAGACCCTGGCTTACTAATCTATAAATGCTGTTAGAAACCTATAATAAGAAAATAGTAAAAAATAAATAAAGTATATACTGGTGGTACTGAAATTCCATGCCAACCAAGGATGTAATAGATAGGGATATCAAGATATAACCTATACCATAGCTCAACCCTAATTATCAGCTTTATTATAATTTGCTATTGGGGTATGAGTATCCAAAGAGTTAAGTCCCATACAATTGTCTTTCCTGGGAAATGTCTAGTATTCAAATATATATAACATAGGCTCAAGATAGAGCTATTGCAGATAGATAGGAAGGTAGAGGTAATTGAACAATGAAAAACCAGTCAAAAAATAGACTGATAGTTTAAATTAAATTAAATTAAAAGGCCTCTCTCCCTGTTAATCTAACTAGACAGGCATAGAACAGAAATAGAAATAAATTAAATACAGTGCAAAATCATGGTGCTACATCCACCAGTGCCCAGTGCTCATATCTATGATATGAGAAGAGAAATGCCCAATGCACGTTTCGGTGCTAAAGAGATGCACCTTCGTCAGGGGCCGACTTCAAACTGATACAGAGGTCTCTTAAATATTTTGTATTTGTATTTAAGAGACCTCTGTATCAGTTTGAAGTTGGCCCCTGACGAAGGTGCATCTCTTTAGCACCGAAACGTGCGTTGGGCATTTCTCTTCTCATATCATAGATATGAGCACTGGGCACTGGTGGATGTAGCACCATGATTTTGCACTGTATTTAATTTATTTCTATTTCTGTTCTATGCCTGTCTAGTTAGATTAACAGGGAGACGGACTGCATTTTTCATTGTCTATTGTTTTTTGTTTACTTGGGGTTAAGCCCCTTCGAGATACCTGGAGTCTCGTCTCGGTACACTAGTCCCTGTGTGGCACCTGTTAATTCCTCCCCCCCCCTTTCTTTTCCACTCTGGGGGCAGTGCATACAGGTGTGTACACAGAGACGTAGAACCTTGTGTTCTTTGCTTTCTTCTGATGTATGGGACAGCCTCAGGGGTTCCGCTACAAGATGTTTAAACATATTTTGTTTTCCTTTCAGTAAGGAGACAATAGTCTCAAGAGGTAAATGGTAATCTTTAAAAGGCAGAGAGCCTAATAGGGCATTAATATGATTGTGATTGTGTCACTGAAATAATATTGGGTGCCATTAAGATCTAACCAGGTAACATTAGTCAAACATCCTGAAAAGGGGAGAGGTAGATTAATACTTGTATTACTAGTAATTATCTTTGTAGGGAGGTTACTTGCCAAACAGATATGTTGTGTACTTATTTCAGTCATGGTAAAATAATTTTCAGGATATATGTGCCATATGCACTTGTTAAGTTCATTTTCGAGTAAGCATGGTTCATAAATAGAGGATGAGTGTTGACATGCATATCCTTTGTCAGTGAGAACACAGTGTTTAAGGGAATAGGTCATATTATCTTTGGGGAAAAAATAGTCCCCTGTGTATGTGGGTGCCCACCAGGTTAAATTCCTGGCAAAGAGATCATAAACTGGTACTGGTAATGTGTTAGATTGACAAGCTAATTTAACATCCTTTGATGATGTATGATATAGTGTAAAATAGCATGAGCATGAAAAATGTGAAACATTACCAGTTAACCATTCATTGTATTTAGTGGATTGGGGTTTTAGAAGTAACCATTCATTATCTGTGAGTTTAAGCATCCCTCTAATCTTCTCTAGTTTAGGAATCATTAGTGTGTCTTCTAATGCCAATCTTTGTTGTTGCATCCATAAATACCTGATGGCACAAGTACTCCAGTTACCTAGACCTGTAGTGAATTTCATAGTTGCAACAGTAAAATTACCTAAATAGTTATACATTGATTTATCTAAATCCAATCCTGTAACCTGTGATTTAACAACAGTTGGAGCCATGTTTGCAGTAGCATGGAAACCAGTCCCTATATGCATGCTGGCCGTGTTTAACTTATTCTTGAGGGTCTCCATGTCTATACTATTTAGTATACCCATAGTGGTTCCAGCACCTCCTAACAGTGTCATACCATTCCCTTTTCTACCTTTTGTTTGTTGTGTTACATAATGTTACAACAGGAGTAGTGATTTTTAATGACACATGTACAGCTCGTAAGAAGGCAGTTGTATTAACACATGTGGACGGAATAGGTGTGTGTGTGTGTGTGTCATTGTTGACTTTTGGTTCTATGGTAGAGGATAAAGGACAGTAATAAGGCGTAAAAATATAAGGTAGTGTACAGTTCTCAATTGCATTGTCGTTCATAATGACTAACATTTGTCCCCTTTTCCAATTAATGGTACCAGTTGTATAATCATTATTAAAAGTAATGAGGCCTGTCTGTTTACATTGATATGCAACCTTACTAATTTTCTTATAATATATATCCCAAACCTGATGAGGTGTTTTTTTTTCTTACCATCAGAACTTATATTAAATAAGGTGGCACAGATGCTAGTGTAATTAGCAACCTTAACTGTGCACATTTCTGCGTTATAAGATCTAACAATTTTCCGTGTACCTTCAAACAAACATAATGCATCGGTTTCATTAGCTGTGGACACATTCCATATGGGTAACTGGTACTTATAAGGGTTATTATTTGTCCAATTCATCCAAATGCGTTCAGTCAATGAGTGATTGCATATTACATGCTGATAGATAGGTGGTTGACAAAGGTTCTTGAGGGAGCGTGTGTGACGAATGCTAGATGAGGGGCTAAGGCCTAATTGGGCTGGGGGTATTGAAGAATTGTTCATCGTGTCAGAGTCTTTTCTCCAGAAAAAAACAGGTTTCAAACTTCCCGTTGACTTGTACTCATAATGGCATTCAAGGAACAATATCAGAGGGAGTATAACAACTCCAGAAAGCATAGCGCAAAACATAATCTTTGTCTCAGGTTCGTATGATCCTCTCAATCTACGATATGGTGTGAAAGCCATGATGCTTCGGGATATTCTTCTGTTTCCGAGTGAGGAGTGATGTTGTCTTCCTTGGTTCCCCTCTTTGGACACAGCTTCACTCGGGATGCGTGAATCCAGATGTCGTGGGAATCTGTGAGGACAGCGGTACTGGCTACAGCAATCACAGTAGCAGGTGGTCCGAAAGGGTATCCTCCTTTCTTGGTCCTATTCAGCTGACGGATATACACCATGGCTGGTATGGATGAGTAGGTTCATGTGAAGGTAAGGGAAACTGCGAAGAAACATTGCCATATATACCATTCAGTTTTATCAACAATTCCTATACATATTGTTCTTGTATTAGCTGTAAATCCCCAGACATTATAACAAGCGGTTCCCTGGCCCAGGGTGTGGGAAAAGGTCGTCCCATCAGAATCTCAAATGGAGATAATTTAGTCACCTTGTGGGGAGTCATTCTTATCTCAGCTATAATAGCTGGAAGATATTTTGTCCAATTTACCCATGTTCCTGCAGTAGCTTTCATAAGCTTCTCCTTAATGGTCCTATTCATCCTTTCAACTACCCCTGAACTCTGTGGATGATAGGGTATATGAAACTTCCAGGTAACTTGCAAGAATTTAGCAAGTTCCTGGGTAACCTTACCTGCAAAAGCCGGGCCATTATCAAAGTTAATCTGCAGAGGGCAGCCATACCTGGGAATAAAATAAAATAAAAGGAGCAGCTGGAGGGGGCAAATGGTCATGCTGTGATTTGTGTGGAATATTAGGATGTGTTCTCATACATGGTTCACACGATCTTACAAAAGACTGTACATACTGCCTGAGATTCCTAATATAAAATTAATTCATGAGGAATTTGGATGGTGCTTTCTATGCTTTTGTGACCGGGACCATGTGCCTGACTGATGAAAATAAAGCAGCTGGATTCAGGTATGCCTATTCTCCCCTCTTTAGAGAAAAGATCATTCTGATCTTTCTCTAAACCTTGTTCAATCCAAAAATCAAAGTCAGATTGCGTTGCAAAGGCTTGGAGCTGCAAAAGCAAACTATCAGTAGGGCATGTGGGAGGTGTGAGCATAGCAGGAAACATTTCATAGTAAAGAGTCTTGGCTGCAACTTCTTTTGCCACTTTGTCAGCCAAGGCATTACCTCTGGAAATGTCATCACTACCCAGAGTGTGTGCCTTGCAGTGGATAACAGCTACTTCAGATGGGAGTAGGATAGCATCTAGGAGTGATTGGATGAGATTTGTGTGTGTGAAATGTTTTTTCCATCTGCTCCTTCAAAGCCTCTGTGTTTCCAAATCACACCAAAATCATGCACTACCCCATGAGCATATCGTGAGTCTTAGTAAATGTTCACTCGCTATCCTGAGAAAAGCTGACAGGCACGTGTGAGAGCAATGAGTTCTGCAGCTTGTGCAGATGGCTGGAAAATAGTGTCAGCTTCAATGATTTTTTCAGGTAACTGTACCACAGCATAGCCTGTGAGGTACGTACCGTCATTTGGTCTGGAGCAAGAGCCATCCACAAAGACATCCGGGCCACTGAGTGCTGTTGAGGAGAGGTCTGCTCTGGGAGATGTGGCAATATGTATTTGTTCAATGCAATTATGAGGCTCAGATGGTATAGACACAGAGTCAGATGCAGAAGTGAAAATAGCATGCAAAACAGACATAGGACCAGAATTAACAGGACTATAGACAATAGACAGATTCTGGGTATTAAGAAGAATAATCTCATAACCACTTAAGCGCTGGGCTGTCATGTGTTGTGTGGTGAGATTTTTTATAAGCTGAGTGACCTGATGACTGTTATGGAGTATTGTAGGATGCTCTAGTGTGATAGTAGTAGCAGTCTCAACAGCCATTGCACATGCTGCCAATGCTCTGAGACACGCCGGCATACCCTGTACTGGAGCTGGAACTACTTTGGAAAAGAATGCTATGGGACGCATACCGCCTCCGTGCTCTTGTGCACAGCCCACGGCCATGGTTTTACAGTTGTCCCGAGCATACAAATGAAATGGTTTACAATACACAGGTAGTCCTAAAGCCGGGGCTTGCACAATAGCAACTTTGAGGGCAATATACGTAGCTAGCATGTCTGGTGACCAGTAGACATTTTCAGGGCTGTCAGAACGTACAGCCTCCCTTAGAATTGAGTCATAATGGGAGCATTCAGGGATCCATTGGCGGCAGTAATTAATCATGCCGAGGAAGGTGAGCAACTCCTTCCGAGTAGTGGATTTAGGAATCCTCTGAATGACCTCAATATGTTTTGGACTCAATTGTCTGGTGCCTGAAGCCAGAACAAAACCTAAGTAATCAACCTTTGATTTACACAATTGCATTTTGTGTTTTGCAACCTTGTGACCCATAGTTGCTAAGTGTTTGAGCAAACTGACAGTATCCACAGTGCTTGCCTCATAGCTAGGGCTACATAACAACAAATCATCAACATATTGCAAAAGGACGGAACCATGACCGGGGGTCCATGTTTTTAGAGTATGTTGGAGTACCAGCGAATAAACGGCTGGGGAATCCACATAGCCTTGGGGTAAGCGTGTCCAGCCTTCAAAAGTAAAAGCCATAAGTAGCTGTGTCTCTTGATCAATAGGTATAGAACATAAATGCATTACTTAAATCAATGACAGTGAAGCAAGTGGCATCATGTGGAATGGCTGTAATGAGGCATGTCACATCAGGGACAATGGGTGCAATGGGCACAATTAAACTATTCAGGGCTCTAAAAGTCCTGAACTAAGCCATAACCATTACCTTTAGGAACTGGATTAATAGGTGTGTTATATGGGGAAACCACTGGCTTTAGTATTCCATGCTCTAGAAAAGATTGGATCATGGGGCGAACTCCCTCAACCTTGGCTTCTGACAGGGGCTACTGTTTAAGGTAGATAGGAGTTACATTTGGTTTTAGTTTGGCTTTGTAAGGGGTGCAGTTGACCAATTCTACATCTAAGCCCACACAGAGGAAGGAACATCAGACAAATCAATAGTTTCAGAACACAACCACCAGAGGTCGTGCAAGTAATGGTAGCTCCCAGAATACCAAGAAGATCCCTTCCCAGCAAACTAACAGGACATTTAGGTATTAAACGAAAAGGGTGCACAGTAGAAGAACCATTAAGAGGACAGAAAACAGACAGTGGTGGTGTGACAAAAGTGGGTGTTGACACTCCATTAATACCCAATGAAGGTGTAGTCTTTTCCCTTGTCCCCTGATAATAGGTGTCACAGAGACTGGAACACATAGCTCCAGTATCTACCAAAAATGGCAAGGATCTACCTTCTATGACCAGAATGCAAAAAGGCTGATCATCATTAGTAGAGGACAAAAGTGGAAAAGTTGGAGTGTCACCTTCAAGGCAGCCCTATTGGGGCCATGGGATGTGATGGGTGTGCTGGTCAGTGGTACCTGTGAAAGGCCCTAGTGCAGTTTGGGTTTGCTTGAGCGAGGGGGGTGGGGGAAGTGCTGGACAGTGGTGTTGGGAGTGGGCCTGTTGTTGTTCTTGCCTACCGGGTGTATTTTGAGAATTGTGGGGTTTTTGGGGCGGCTGGAGTTTCTTGGGGTGTGGACACTCATTCCTCCAGTGGCCATGCTGGCCACAGTTGAAACAAGTGTTCCTGTCTATTCCTCCTTGGTTACCCCTGCCCCTATAACCCTGATTTCCCTGTCTCCATCCCCTTGCCCCTCTTTGACCACCCCTTCCACGGGCTCTATGTGCTCCATCCCATCCTCTCTCTCGGGCCTGTGTAGGTGGACAGTGTTGCAATCCCTGAGCATAATAAGCAACCTTACTTCCTGAATCTTTTCTTAAATCAAAACAACCTGCATTTTCCTTCTCTATAACCTTGGTAAGAAAATCTGAGCCACCCAAATTGGCCCAGTCTGAAATCAACTGTTTCACAAGCAAAGAATACTGTGGCAACATATTACCAAGGCATGACTGTATTTTAAGGAGATCCATATCATCTCCAGACTTCAAACCTGCCACATCCCAGGGCTGGACTGGCCCACCGGGATACCGCAAAATTTCCCCGTTGGGCCGTCGGCACCTGGGATGAGGCAGGTTTGAAGTCTGGAGCTTGATGGTCTCAGCCAATCCGCACTGACACAGGAAGCACCTCTAGTGACCGTCTGAGTGTCTGTCACTAGGAAGCAATGTAAACACTGCCTTTTCTCTAAAAAGTCAGTGTTTACATTGAAAAGCCTGCAGGGACAGGCTATAGACACCAGAGCCACTACATTAAGCTGTGTGTGTGTGCGCACCTGCTAGTGAGTGGGCTTGCTTGTGTGTGTGTGTGTGTGTGTGTGTGTGTGTGTGCCTGCTACTGAGTGAGCTTATGTTTTTATGTCAATGACCTTATGTATATCAGTGAGATTGTTTGTCTATGAGGCTGTGTATCAATCAGCTTGTGTCAGTTCTATTGTCTGTGTCTGCATGTGAGTATGCTTACTGTATAATTAAAAATGTTACTCTGAAAGGACCAATATTTTATATTGGAAAAAGCTATATATATCAATCATCAAGGGTAGCAAGACATAGCCTTACATATTACATGCAACAATATATGGCGCAATAACTTATGGGGCTGGCATAGATTTTTTTTTCCAGGGCTGCTTTGGAATCCACAGTCCGGCCCTGCCTCATCCTTCCAACACTTGTAAAATCTCTTTACAAAAATACCAATCTCTTCCTTTGCACCTTGCTTACATGCCAAAGCTGTGGATATAGACTGCTTATTCTACCATAATCTCAACATTTCAGCTTCCACCTCATCCCACATTTTAGCACATCCTGCTGAAGTACTAAGCTCATAAACACCATCACTACCAGCCTCTCCAACTCCAGTACCGTTGTCTGTCTCACTGATAGAGGGTACCCTAGACCAATCCCAACCAGAATCTGAGTCAAACCCTAATATTCCATTTATAATTAACTGTATGTCTATCTGTGTCATGTTCTGTCCTAAGCACATTCTTTTCAGATACATTAGGCATGCAGAGGGATTTGTACGGGGGTTTGTGGCATCTTGAATAATGTCCTTGAGTACTCCGGGATTAATGGATTTCATTATTAACTGAGTACCAACAGTAAGATCAGCACCTTCTAATTCTGGCATCTCTACATCATCATCACCTTGCTTATATACATATGATTTTAACACCTTGCCACTTTTTAAGTTAACTGTTAATTTAATTGTACCGGGAGGTGGCGGTGATATTCTATATCAGAATCTGGTGTAGATCATGATTCCTGTAATTGTTGTGATTGTGAATTAACAGCTGCAGCAATACAAATATCTTCTATATCATCCTCTGAGGGGGCATTAGGTACAGCAGGATACATTGCTTTATAGGGAGGTGGGGATTGTGGTTGGGCATGGCTGGGGGCTGACTGGGTAGGGTGCACAATTGGTGGTGGATATGGATTCTCAGGAGGGGCTTCTATGGGAAAGCGGATGGTATTACTGTCAACAGTTCCCTTTCTCTTAACCAGGTCTTTCTTAGCTCCCTTTAAAACCTTTCCTGTTACACTACAAGGAAACCAATGAGGGGCTATCTGCAACCAATTTTCACCTCCTGCTTTCATATATTCCTTATCCCAATCTGGATCAGGACCATACCACGGCCATGACTTCCTATCTCCCAAACACAATCCTCGAATCATATTTATATGGAAATCATCATTAGCCCCACACCTGGGAAAAGGATCAGATGACTTCATAGTCTCTGTTCATCCTGCTAAATTTGACACAAAGGGGATTGTAAGAAATCCTCCTTGTGCTCCTATTCTAGTAACATAATTTAGACATGACTCCCCTGGGTGGGGTAAAGGGTAAGAAATAGACTGATTATTTCCCATATTTCTGGCTCAAGGTAGAGACACTACCTACTTACCAGTAGTGTGTCTCTACTTAACAAGCAACATAAACACAAAGCAGACACAGGGTGACCAGAGGAATGAGAAGTTTGGGTTATTCTAGATCTATAAACCGTGTTTCCTAAAACACCTATAGTCTTAATAAACTGTAGACTCCTTTATAGTCTCAAAACCTGTATCTACCTGAGATACCCTATGTCTATCTTAGATACTAACCTGGATTACCAAGAACCCTATAATAGACCAACTGTCCAGTAAAAAACAGAGACCTATTTACAGTCTCAATATAACTAAAGTCCTTACACCTTTCCTATCTAATGGATACAGACTTACTGAACCAAAGGGGGTCATAGACAATCAGCGTCAATAAGACACAAAAAGGCTACTTACCCAATGGCTTTGCTGATCCCACTTCTGACACCAAGCTGAAAGGGTTAGTGCTGTTCTGGACTCAACTCCCCTCGATTCTCGATTCTCCGGTCACCACATCAATTGACGGAAGTTCTTGTTTAGCAAATTAAGACACAGACACGAAAGCGTGCTTAACAAGTTCTCAGTGAGTATATTTTCAGGGCTAGCATTTATACACAGTTTGTCACGCAAGCAGCGAGATTTATCGTTTCCTTGTAGTTAATAGTACATACTTGTCTGACATTAAAAGATAAGTATTTGAATAAAGATGGGACAGGAACATCCTGAGGTCGAGTGAGGTCATACATCCTGTAGAAGGGAGGCCTCTCAAAGCATGTTACAGAATACATCTGCCAAGGTCAGCATAATTATTTCAAACATTATTTTAAAGCATATAAAGCAAAAAGAGTTAACTATTTCATATCCTTACAATAAGTAAAGGTCAGAGAATA